CCCCAAAACCCCAAAACCCCGTTAAACAGCATTTAGATTGAAAGTCTGGGTATAAATACAACAAAATAATCATTCAGGAATTTATAAAGCATTTCTATTATTGATACCTCCTCACTGCACTCTAAGTCTTTTAAAATTGCGAGCTTCGTGGCCATCATTATTCTCATTGCCAATGAAATCAGTGTTTACTTCTACTGATGGGCCTTCTCTGTTCTTCCATGCTTAAAACATGAGTTTTTATTTCTTATGTGTATCGAATAACTCTCTTTCTAAATTTGTAAGCTTCTTTTGGACTCCTGAAAATTGTTCGGTCTGATTTGAATTGTTGGAGTAATCTATTACCAGCTTCCCAAATCTCTCAATAAAAACATTTAGGTATACTACAAGGGTATCCTTGACATCTGATTCAGCCATGTACTCACAAATTTTAGTAACATTCTCATAAATGTATGGACTTTATTGCCTCATTGTAACTACCTCAGATCCTGCATTCAATGTGTTAAAATACTGCTTTGTCATATACTTGGGAGGCAGAAGGTTCACGATGTCTCTTTGAGCTAGAGCAATACCGAGCCAAAGGGGAAGTTCAACCTTTGTTTCAGCTTTAAGTACTTCAGTCCTAAGATTCCTTAGTTGCTGCTATTTTGCTAACATGCTTTAAGCACTACTAGATGCTCTAATTGCATTACTTGAATTTGGGTTAATCTAGTCCAAATGATTTAAATAAGCTAAACCCTTTGCATCTTGAAGAAAAATTGTTGGAGCTGACTCTTCTTCAGCCAGAATGTCATCAATATTCCAATAATCTCTATTGCCTTTGCCACTGGCGGAGTGCTATAAAAGACCTTCAATAGTTGAGACTGATGATAAATGAGATGCCATTTAGAAATACCTCTTTTAATTATATTTATAACTTTATTGCGCGAGTTTTAAATATTTGAATTCAATATGCAACTTGGGGTTTTGGGGTTTTGGGGTTTTGGGGTTTTGCGGTTTTGGGG